AACTACTATCACTTCTAGAACCAAACTGAGATATTTTTATATAAATATAATACTATTACAACCAAACACAACAAACAAAAACAACCTAAGCAAAACATCAACTGAATACCAAAAAAATTACAATATACTTAAAAATTTTAAATTCTAACACACAATATTCAAGATGCAAATGACAAACTAAAAATGCAAATATGGCTGGAATTCTGCTACAAAAACAATTATAACATAGTTAGCATAACTGAAACAAAACTTGCTGAATCAACTTACTTAAAATTAAAACTATCAAACTTCTACTATGACATATATACATCAAACAGTAATAATGAAGTTGTGAAAAAACAAGAATCAAGCATGGGCACCCTAATTGCAATATTCAAGTTTCTCCAACCATATATATATAACATTAAAACAATATTAGGCACAGCAATAGCAATTAACTTTTTTTTCCACAAAACCAAAAAATAAGAGTAATATCTGCTTATCTACTCTCCAACAACAAAAAACTAAATTAAAACACATAACAAGAAATTGCTACATAGATTACCTATAGCCATACTCACAACTACAGTACCATAGTTCTTGGAAATTTCAACTATGATAAACAAAAACACAAAACTTAGCTTGCAATACAATTGTTCACAGCAATACAAATTTATAGTATAAACAGTTTTTTAAAATATTTCAATATAAACTCACCTACCTAGGCAAAAGGACCACTACAAAGCCAAATAGATGACATATGGATATCAAGCACACTGCTACCCAATATAACTCAACCTGAATTAATCAGTGCAAAGCTTATAACAATAGTGATTATAAAATAATCTCAACAATATGACAATTTAATATAAATATTAAGAAATACAGACCAAAGACAAAGAAAAGATCAATATTTCAATATAATCAAATGAAGCCTAATGATTAGATAGAATTCAAAAATGACATCAGCAAGTACCTAAAACAACAAGAAAATAAACTTTCTCAAATGATTAGTACAGAAAAAGAACTAAACAAAGACTGGCATATACTAAATGAAGCAATTAAACAGGCAGCTAATAACAACATACTCAAAACTAAAATAAGCCTCAAAACATATTATGCCTTCTTCAAAAAAGCTACAAAACTTTATGCTACTCTACAAGACATCAACCAAATCATTAAATACCTCAAAAAAGACAATCTAAATCTAGACTTATCAACAATTCAAGAGATTAATTATAAAATTGACAAGATAAACAACTATACAGAAATGCAAATACTCAAGCTTAACCAGTTGCACAATATAAGCAAACACTAGGAAATACCTTGCAGCTATTAAAACATTAACAGAAAGCTATTTACAAGCCAGAAAAATAGAAAACAACATGGCTCACAAGCAAAAAATTAAAAACAATATAATTAAATGATATAACAACTTTGCAACCAATATCACAAAGATGATAAACAGTATACTACAAAGACAAACAGACTCAGTAGTACTAAACAATATTATACATCCTAACAAAGTTATAACAGAACTACAAGAAATCAAAAAAGAAATCAAAAAACATTTTGAAGAATGGACAAAGAGCAATCTCATGAACAACAACTATTGAAAAGAATAGCAAAAACAATACATGCTACAAAAAAGAATAAATAAGTTATATTACAATGTAATGTTAGACTCTATAACCATACATAAACTTTAAACTAATATAAAAGAATCATCAAATGGAAAAGCCACTAGGCTACAACAAATATCTAATGAAATTCTAAAGCACTTAGATAACTAAACTTTAAATCTATTACTAAAAATCTTTAATGCATGCCTTATGCTCAATACAATTCCCAAAATGTAGAAGCAAAGCAATATTTATCCAATATCAAAAAAGCAAAAATTTTCTAGAAAACTCAATAAAACATGTCCAATTATTCTAATTGAACATACATGAAAAATCTTTACCAAAATAATAACAAAAAGATTAAAAACAATATTTAACAAATATCCAATCCTACATCTTAGCAACCATGTCACAATTCCCAATACATTAACACAAATACCAATCACTATACTAGCAATATTCTGGAAGATGCACAAATTCAGAACAAAGAACTATGGTTACTTAGTCAAGACATGTTCAAGGCATACAATACAATTCACATTCTATTACTTAAAAAAGCTCTAAAGAAAATAAATATTTTAGAAGCTACAACAAACCTAATTACAAACATTTTTACTATTAGGTCAAATTATGTAATAACAAACTTTGGGCTAACAAAATTATATGAAGTTGGAGATGGAATAGACCAAGGTGAAATAATAGCACCACTTCTGTGGCATATTTACTATGATCTACTGCTTACAAAGATATACAACAGTACAAAAGGCTACTCACTTAACACAATATATAACAAGCAAGATCGAACAAAAAACCTTCAAACAAACTGACTAGCATTAGCCTATATGGATAACACTATATGGATAGCTTAATCCAAACAAGAACTACAATCAATCCTCAAAACTGCAAGTTTATTCTTCTTACTTACAAATATAAAACTAAATCCAAACAAATCTATGCTTGCAATAACCAATTCAACAAATATAATATACAACAATATAATAATTGAGGCAATACAGCCAAAAGAGGCTTTTGCTTTCTAGAATGCTGGTATACTACTTACAAGAACCACAAACCAATTCACAAAATCATCAAAGAAGAAGCTGATAATGCTATAAGAAGAATTAAAAATGCAAATATAACAGAAAAACAGGCTATATATATTGTTAATACTATTATATTAACTCGAATAGTATACAGAGTTCAAAACACTTACCTATCTATACAATTATGCAAAGCAATAATGAACTATTATATGACAATAGTAAAATATAAAGCTGGTCTTGCACAAACAGTACCCAACTCAACACTATTTTATCATCAAATTTATGGATTATAAACTGTCACAAACATCTAAACACAGCAACACATCTCCTTTATATACTGACAGCTCAATTATGCTAAACTTTCAAACCCAATACTAAAAATATGTATCCAACAAATTCAAAATGCTAACTATAGCAACAAGTCAATATTAACCAATAACACATATATATTGCCACAAAAAAAATCAAAAACTTCATTAGCAAAAATACTATACAGTATACAGAAAACAGGAAAAAGTTTTCTAAATAGCAATAACAACTGGCCAAAACTAGCAGAACATAAAGACACACCAATAGATATAGTATTTCAGCAAATTAACAAACCACACCTAGTAAAGGCCAAACTTAACAAAATTAGATTGTACTCTATCAAACAATACACTAATTACAAGAATATAGATGTACTAATATAGATACAAATATTATACATTATACTACATATATCCAAAGAAAGAAAACCTAAATAGTACAAACTTATAACAGAAAACATAAAACAAAACTAGGGTTCTGCAAATGCTCATGCCAGGCAAATTGGCACTATGCCAGGCATTAGTGCCTCATGCCATGCCCATACGTATAGGCTCAAAGTGCCAGGAATTATTATAGACATGGGCACAAATGCCAGGCATTTTTATAATCATGGGTGCAAAAATGCCAGGTACTTTATAGGCATAGACACAATATGCTAGGTAAAAAGATGCCAAAAAGTGCCAGACACAAGTGCCAAATAGTACCAAACATATAATTAATCAATAAATACTAAATTTTTGTGCCTATACCCATGCCCATGCCAAGTTTTCATGCCTGTGCCTATGTCTATGCCAAATTTTTGTGCCTATGCTCATGCCTATGCCAAATTTTTATATTAGCATTTATGCCCATACCAAAGCTTTCATGTCCATGCCCATACCTAAATTTTTGTTAGGCATAGGCACAAGCCCGGGTTGCAGATCCCTAGAGTCTGCATAGATTTCTCCCATTCCTGGTTTCGCATAACAACATTGTGCAGCTACTTATTTTTTTATAAACTTACCTTTAGAGCCAATAATTTCTCATTATTTTCATTAACATATTCAACAATACAAAATTTACCAGTCATGAGAATTATATTATCTTTTTAAACATAGTAAGACCAAATTTCTAGAAGGTATCTTGGGGATAAAAACCTTTTAAAAAGATTTTTTGGGAAATATTCAAATTTTGAGAATTTACAAAAGCCAAAGCATTAACAATTTGAAAAGTTTTAGCAGTATTTACTTAACATTCGGTAACATAACATAGAACCATAACAGTGCCAGAATTTTTTTTTTTATTTAAATAACTTCTCAAAAAATAAAACAACCATATTTATTAAATACTTTTTTTTTCAATTAAATCAATTTATGAACATGTTACTAAGCATAAATCTGTATCATTAATTAATATAATAATATTAACTAATTTTAGCAAATTTATAGGCCAATATAAATATACAATTATGTAATATCATGCTCTAAAAATTATTAAATAAAAGTTTTTAATTTTTAGAGCTCTAACAATTATGTAATATTGTGCTTTAAAGAAATTTACTAAAAATTATAATTTTTCAAAATTAAAATAGTAAAAATTGATATGTTGATCGAAGACCTTTTTAATGAAATATATCTGAAATTATTAATTCTTTTCAATTGTATTTACCAATTGATAATGTGTATTTTGGTTACTCTAATTATTAATTGATTACAGGTTTTGCATACCAAGTTCGTACAAACTGAACTACTGTATTAATAAATTTTACAATAAGATTTTTAACAATGTTATCAATTTATAAGTGATCTTGAATTAGAATACATATTCAATGGGAATTCAGAGATGCATATAAAAATCAGCTTTCTATCAAACCTAATATAAATTTAAGTTTATGAAATTATTTTTTTTTATACCTTACTATGAAGATTTAATAATTTAATCAATTTCAATTCACTTCATATTTTATTTAATTACAATTTGAAAATAATGCATCAATAATATGTATAATACTCAATTGTTGTAGAATAATGATTTGATCTTATTATCATTTCTTTACCCAAGTTTGATAATGTTGGTTAGTATGAAAACCGTGAATTCATTGAAATAAAATAAAGCATGTCAAATAGAGCTGCAAAACAAGAAATAAAATTTTCAAAAAATAATAAATCTTTATAATAAAAAATTTTAAATTTCATTCTGGTGGGCAAAAAGGTACTGCTATTGGTTTTTTTGATGCTTTTTTTGATTATGTAACAAATAATCAGAATGTTGAATATACAGTTTATAAAAATGATTGTTTTGTTGTAAAATTTAAAAATGAAAATGAATGGAGACTTACATGTTGGTGTCCAAAAGGACGGCTTTGGGAAGATAATGGAAAAATCCCAGATGAATACCCACTTCAAGAAACAAAAACTAACGATTACAAAGAAAGAACCAAACTAAACATTAAAGATGCAGAAGCCACTTTAATAGTAATAGTTTCAATTTTTAATTCAGATAACAATGAAACAGGTCTTACTATTGAAGAAGCCAATAATTTAAATAAACTGTTGAAAATCATTAATTTAGACGAAGAAGCAAATAATATTAGTGAAGAAGTTTTTAAATGGATTAAAGAAAAAAATATCAAACATTTAAACATGGCCGGTCCTCGAGCAAGTACTTGTGAAGGGATTTATGATAAAACATTTATATTTATGAATTCCTTGTTAAAGAAATTAGAAGATTACCAAGACTAATTGAAAAAACCAATTGTATATAACCTTATTTTTTTTATCTTAAATGTGTTTAACAAGATGTGATCTATTATTTGTTTTCATAATTAAAATTTAACATAAACTGATATTCTGATCTCTAATGTAAACTAAGATGTTTGTGACATGAAATATTTCAAGCCTTAATTGTTTAGAATCAATACAGGTTTTGCATACCAAGCTCATATAAACCTGTTACAATCAAATTCAACAAACTTTGTCAGTAAAGAATGTACTTGTATTACCATTTATAAACTAGGATTTTATAATAAATCTTTATTTACACTTTTATTAAACTAAAATGTTATCGTTATTGAAAAATAAACATAAATATTTCTTAAGTCACATTTATATTTTCTATAATTTGCATAAACTAATTCATGAGTTTACTCACAGTGAGTTTTTTGAAGAAATTTTTCTGCTGGAGTTACTTTCTCGTAGCATATATTCACCTCCAACATTGTACACATTTATGATATGCTTTTCTGTGATCCTCTTACATTTTTATATTCCATATAAATTAATTTTTAAAGAGAGCCAGATAGAAGTTTCAGCTATCCCACTATGCTGTCATATGTTTTTAACTACGATATTGGACACCACCATGTAGCTAGATGTTTCTTCAATATTGTTTTTAATAAAATTATCCAGCAATTTAATGAATAAGAATCGAAATCATTTGCAGTTGGCCTCTTAGAAGGGTCTGCATATTAATTTTATTAACATCTTGTGTCAGATCAAAATTTTTTCGATATGAATCTATTGGTCGATTCACATGACCTCATCTCTGCCTTAACATTGGCAGAGATAAGGTCTCATGATCAATATTTTTGTCCAAACAATCTCAATATGATATTCATAAACTAATAGTTAATGTAAATTATACTTCAAAATTATAGTTAATGATGGTTTTTTTTTGAAAAACTAGTAGTTTATAGTTCGCAACCTATCTAAATGAACTTAAATTGCATCACATTAGATCATATAAATTCTCTTAAGTGTTAATCCAAAAAATTTTTTTAACATCAAGATACTTGAAGCATTCAAAAGATCATAGATTTGAGTCAAGTATGTGATTGGTCTATATGCAAAGTTGAACATTGTGTTTCAAGCAAGAATGTTAAGTAGTCTGACTACTTAACATCCCTAGTTTTAAGGTGTATCTAATTGCGAAAGAGTTGTGATAATTTCTGTATTCAATATTGTCACTTGTTTGTTTTTTTCTCACCATAGTCGAGGGGGATTTACTGGGTTGAGGCCTATCCTTTCTTTTGATCTAGAGTAGACAATTATTGGGTCAATAATATGTATTACATAAACAATAATAGAATTATTTGAACGTACTCACAACTCATTATTTGAAATATGGTTTCATGAAGCTGTTTTGCAAATTATTATTTCTCTGTAATTAGTATTAAACAAAGGGAAATTCTATTTTGTCCCAGGTCAAATGACTTCCTAGAATTTGTGTTAGTGCAGGCTGGAATTATGTTAATGGCAGCCAGGTTTTAGTATAAAAACCTGGCTGGCATCAGCATATTTTCGGTCTACCCCTAAATTTTTACCAGGGTCATTTTGAAATAGAATTTCTCTTAAAAAAATTTCTAATATTATTTAGCCAAATCTACAATCAGTTTTCATGTATAGTTAGATCCAGTATTAGAAAAATAAAAATAAAAGAGAAATTTTGTTTGTTAGCAAGAAATTTAGATTTATTCACAAAAAAAGTGCTAAAATTAGAGAATTTTGCCAGAGAGATGATTAGTGAGATCACATTAATTTGAAAAGGGCGATCTGCATTAACCCGATTGATGAAGATGAAGGCTAAAATAAGTCAATGGATTAATATTGCTTTGTTGGGAAAGCTTGTGGCCATGCTCAAGCTCAATCATGTGTCCACATGATTCTTCGCAGCCGAGAACGATATTGAAAGTGTTTTGGACACCAAACATTATTAGAGAACTGGAGGCTGTGAAAGTAAAAAAGTTAGTTAAAAGAGGAAAAAGGCTTGTGATAATGGGAATAATATGTTGGCATAATGAATAAATTTTCGAAAATGTTCTTCTTTCTTCACTGTAAAATTCTTATAAAAAGGATTTATTTTCACTTGAACAGAAGTGTGCTAATCCCGCCCAACAAAAATATATATATATATAATAAATAAACAAGAAAATTCTTTAAAGAAACAAGCATACTCTTTTCGTAAATCCTTTTTACACAAAAATAACTAAAAATCCGTCAGTACTAAAATCGTCAATACCTGGTTATTT